GATTTTGTTAAATCGTTTTTGTTTTTTTCTTTATCTATATATATAGAAGAGAGAGTATGCATGAAAAGTAAAATTATACATAGTTGTTGATATAAGTTTATGGGAATATTTACTGAACGAAATAATTGACTGTATAAATTAAACAATTTGTTTAGAAGTTTATTTAAAAGCTAGGTAAGTAGACTTTGTTGAATAATTACAAAATGAAAAATGTGAGTATATTGAACTTGTGTTTTGAGATACGTAGAATTGAAGAGGAAACTATGTTTAAGTAATAGATAAATCGAAATATGTATTTAAGACGATTATTTTTTATTGATAGTAAAATGATATGATATAAGTGGTTAAATGGTTGAATGTAGTATGTATCCTGTTGTGAATTATCATAATACATAATTCTTTCTATGTAAAATCATTTAGATCAATGAAATTGGTTCTTTCTTTCATCATGTCTTATAATTATTAAGTCTATGAAAAAAAGAAAATAATTTATCCTAACGTTGTCTTTTCTTGATGAATTAGATATCCATATTTGAAAATAAAGCATAAGTTAATTTTGTTTTTTACAAGCATGTAATTAAAAGAAAATGAAAAAACAATCAAGAGGAAAAATTATGACAAATTAAGCTTTTTATATTTGACTTACTAATGCAGCTACATAATTTATTTACTTATAAAGAACTTAGTTGTGTGGATCTCAAAACATTTGAAAGAAAATATAGTCATTCTTTTGCTTTCATGTCTGGATTTTATATAGAAAAAATGAAATAAATATTCAAAATGCAAATTGTTTTGATTTGTTTATTTTGGTAGATAGACGTCGGTAGATATGTTGGTAAGTAATATTGATAGTTGGTAAGTAAATATTAGTAGTTGGAGTGTGTAAATTCAAATTGTTTGATTTATTATTATTTTTTTTATTTTTAATCCTAATTAACTCAATTAATTAAAAAAAATAGGAGAACCCCCCCCTTTTTTTTTTGCGTTTCTTACTTACAATTATTTTCTTTTTGTTCTTGATTTTGTTAAAGTATTTAGTTTTTTTTTTAAATGACAATTATTTTCTTTTTGTTCTTGATTTCGTTGAATTATTTAGTTTTTTTTTTTTAAATAAAACAGAGAGTTTGCATAAAGAGCACAGTTTTACGTAATCGTCAATGTAAGTTTATGGAAAAATTTACTGAACAAGATAATTAACTATATAGATGAAACAGTTTGTTTAAAAGCTTATTTGAAAGCTAGGTAAATTCTATTGGAAGTAAAAAAAAAATATATATGTAAACATATAAAATTAATTTGAAAAATTACAAAATGAAAAATGCAAGTATATTGAACTTGTGTTTTGAGATACGTATTCGATTAAACAGAATTGAGGAGGAGGTAATGTTTAACTAATAGATAAAGTAAAATATGTATTTTAGACGACTACTCTTTATTGATAGCAAAAGAAGTTTTATATATTAGTGTCAACCACGGTAGGAGTACAATTCTATGATTTCAGAGTGAGTATTTACATTTTTAACAACAAAAAGATACCAATATATTTAAAGCAACATGTTCTGTTTGGAAATCCAAAATCATATAATTGAATCTTAACCGAAAACTCATTAGTCTACTAGAGATTTATAGATTAGGTTGCTTGTAGAATCACAGAAGTGGCCACTGTTAGATTGCCTACTGTCCCAAAACAAAACGAACGTGAATCTTTTGAGTTGAGGTTTTATCCAGAGCTAAGGACATCAGTATCTTCAACGTGTTCATCAGTCTTCATTTTCTTCTTGGAATAAATTTCGATTTTTTGATCTCAAGTTTGAAAGAGAGCTCTCTTTGCATTTGGTGTAGGTACTTCGTCGGTGTGTACATCTTCTCTTTATTTTTCGTAGACGTTTTGTTCGAACTATCGTCAGTTGTTGCAAGAGAAGGATCCAATTCCATGATTGTATTTGAAGAATCAACGTCAGTCGTTGTTGAAGAGTTGAATATAAAGATAATTTCATATCGGTATTCAGGTGGGTTTTGGCTTTTTGGTGTTACTTTTAGGTAAATAAGTTGTTCTTATGAGATCTTTTAGTTGTATATCCACATCCTGGAATATTCAAATTGTACTCAAGTGTAATGTGTTGAAGTATATGGAACAAATTATTAAAAATTTAGTAGTATTTGGACTTAACCTTTTCAAAATGGTTCATAATTTCGACAGCACTCGCTTTCAGTAAAGTTTATGCCGTTTCTCCTATCATGGTTGCATCCAAGCCTCCAGATTTGTCTTCAATATATACAAAAGCAGTAACCCTATAAAGAGAAGTTAATTAAATAACATACTAAGTTTTTTTGACATACTAAGTTTTGTTGAATGAAGTGTTGTTTTCAATAAATAATTAAATATAGGTTTAGAGGTACATGTTACCTTAGTATTACTTTTGCATGATCAAATTTGCAGAAACGACACTTATGAATTTGTGCCAAGTCTGCACTTGACGTTTTCTTACAATTGCTACATGCCATATACCAAAACCTTTGGTTCATTGAAGTAATTTTCCATTGCACTTTGATCCAATAGAATTTTTTCTGCATACGAAATGTTTCTACGTGGTTAGATGAGAAATATAGTAATAAGAAAAATTGTAGAATTTTTTTTAGCATTGGTCAAAGAACATTAATAATATATATATATTTAAAAGTTTTCGAAAGATTTATCTATCAGCACAATATCTTGAAAACATGCTTGTGTGCCAAACTGGGTTTGGATAATTCTTTTTTGACGAACTTATATAGCGATGCTTATAACACCTGTAACAAGGAATTTGTGTTGATATCATATTTTGTATATGATAAAATGAATATAAATAGAATGATTATAAAATGTTAACTAAATTTATATTGGATATAAGTTAGTGTGTTTGTAATCATACTTATCTCTGCATTACTATCCATGTATCATTCCGGTTTGTTGAATGCGGTGAGTTCATATCTCGAGAGGAGAAAGTTTAAATTATCCTCCTTAAGTTCTTCTATCTTTGTCTTTGCTGTTATGGTCCAAATTTTGTCTTGAAGTGAGCCTCTGAACTCATTTCTATTGTCTTTCACAATTGCATTTGATAACATGTATGGTTTCCCTAGTGTTAGCTCATCTGCAAGGGCTGTAATATTTGCATCATAGATAATGGCAGTAACTTTGTTACCCTATTCAAACGTGGAAATGAGTTCAATATAAATATATTAGCAAAACAAATATTTAGAATAGAAATTAGAAGATTTTTAAAGTTATGAATATATATTTACCTCTAAATCCATTAAGAGAAGATTTTGGTAGTGGCTAACAGTATTTCGAGCAGTTTTAGGTGCTTGTTTTCCTGCAACTATGATTTTTGCAGTCCAATTCTTTTCAAAAGTGGAAATCTATGGGATAAGTTTATAAAATGTGGCCATTCTTGATATCCTATGACTATGTGAAGAAGAAGTTATAACACAGATAGCTACAATTGTCAATGTTACGTTAAATTTGTTGTAAAAGTTTTTTATTAATATTTCTAATTCTAAAAAAAATTATTGAATAATCTAACGTTCTTCTTTTCGATTAAAAGATAATTATAGTAAAATGGTAGTAATGTGCAAAACTTACTAATAATAAAACAAAAACGGAGTTTTTAAACTTTGGCAGTTGCAGTTGAAGAGTGTGATGTTTATGATACTGCTATAGAATTTTGATGTTGAAGAAGAAAGTGAAGGTACTATAAAATAGTTAGTCGAAAGCAGATATTAATAGAACATGCGGTAGAAGAACCATTGTTTTAATCTGCAACCATACACTTGGTGCTGTAAAATATCTTTTTGTGTGGACGAGAATTAAGCTGAAAGAAAAATTTGTCATTTGTAAAATATCTATTTCACGTAGATATATATGTAATTGATGATGGTTTATGTTTAAAAGTTTTGTGTGGAAAGTTGGTACTATTTTTTATCATCACGTAGATATATATGTAGAGTTGAAAAGTATTTTATGGGAAGTTGGTATTTTTCTGTGTTAGTTTTTTACTACTGGTGCACGTGTTCACTTTGAAAAATATCACTTTACAATTTGCTAAAATTTAATAAATGGTGTTAGATTTACAAATTAAAAGAATGATCGTTAATCCATATGTTTCAAATACGAGTGCTTTATACAAAAGAACTTTATTAAGGAACCTGTGGGGATACTCTAGTCAAGCATATTAACTTATATTATCATAGGTCTTATCAGGTTAATTATTACTATCGTTGTTGTTTGTCATTTTTTCTTTATTTTCTCTTGGATTGATGTATTTTGAAGAACTATCGTGTTCATTTATTACATTACTAAGAAGAAAATTCAATTTATGGTCGAATAATGTATAAATTGTATGAGAAGCATTAGTTTTTAATTAAGTAAATGACTAAATAGAAAACTCCGAAAGCCAAAAAGTTGGAAAATATAACAAAGCATACCATGATTAGATTCTTATTTTACAACTTTAGTTCTTGTATAAAAAAAAAGCCTAACTTCGGAAGAAAAATAAATTGTATATCATAATACCAAAACTTGTAAAAGAACAAAATGATACTTATCGAGTATTTAATACTACTCTTTAATAGAAAGATAATCTTTTATGTTTTAGCTAAAGAAAAACTTGTATATACTTAAAAAGTATAAAAAGAAATTTTATAAAATTAAAAATATTTCTTTAAGGCATCTAGACTTTTTACTATTGTGTTTGTCCCCTTTCATGCTGAGAAGTTTTGCTGGACTTATCCTGTAATAAAAAAAAAAGAATATTTAAATATACTTGAGCATAAGAGGAGTAAAAGATGAGTTTAGAATTTACTGCCTAACCTTGTCTTCAAATACATAATTAGAGCTTGTAGTTGATTTAACAATTCATATTTGTGTTGTATCCAAATATACATATGTACTCATTAAATAAGGAAGCAAGTTTATTGGAAAATAAAAAGTAATAAATTATCTAATAAATCAAAATGCCAAGAAAATGCAATACAATAATTGAATATCACTTTAAAGATTCTTATTAAATTAAGAAAAGTATGATCGTCGTGTTTAAAGCGAAAGACAAATTAAAAAATAAAATATATGCAAATTTTAGTTTAACCAGTATCCATGTAAAGATATTATGTAATGAGAAATTGCACACACTAACAAAGTTTTCAACCTTTCCAATCAGCTCATCAACGAACAATACAGCAATTGATTTGTCTTTGTTATTTCTTAGTAAAGAAGATGAAGGATACGTTTTGTTGGTGCCCATTCCTAAACCGTGCCATGTTTCCTTTGCTATTGCTAGTTGATCACCTAGCAGAGTTTATTAAATAAGGAATCAAGCACCAAAAGTAGTGGAAATGATCAAATAAAACGTATAATGCTAATAAAACTAACATTTATTCATATGGTCCTAGAAATAATTCATGTTATGCACTCAAGTGACAGTTGACAATAGTAGTCAGCATCATTGTATTGATTAGAATGCCGATATAGAGATTTATCTCAATTTTAAATAGAAGCATTACTTTCTCTAAGGATAGTACCTTAACGTAATAAAAGACTAAAAGTTGCTTGTTCAACCAATAAACTCAGTCGTTAAATTCTAAATGTAATTATCAACAGCAAAGTTCATACATAAACTGAGTTCAACATGGTTGGCTATATAAGAGGTGTACTTTTGAGTAAACAAGTAGTTCTTTAATTGATCAAAATTAGAATTAACTTTCCTATTTTGCTAGTAAAGTGAGTTATTTTCACAATAAGTAAGCTTAAGATTAAATGGGAGTAACTTATCCAAATATGTTTGAAAATACTTTTTCACATATTTTTAAGCGAGGCTAAGGATGCTCTTAATCTCCTTTAATTGTTACTTGGAAGTCGAAAGATGTAAGAATTTTTTGATAAATGTATGATTTGATAATATGCCAAGAATTAATTTTCTAAATAATAATCATCTGCAATTAAAAAATCCAGAAAATAGAAGACAAGTCTATACTTGCTTCTAAATCAAATAGTAAGTCAATTGATCGAGTGTTTAGCTGAGCTGAATTTTCAATTAAGCTGGATTCTCGAATTCCTTTTGGTTGTTTCAATGTTTGTTTTCAGTGCCTTTGTTGGCATTAGTCAAGATAATTAGTTTTCAATAACTGATGAAAAATATTTATGTGACAATTCATATTCATTAAAGTGTGAAACTTTTGAAGGTAAATCTATTCTAAAAATAGAGAAATTCCATTTCCACATTCCACTAACATAAATTGGTTACCAATCTAGCAAAGTATTATAACACTAACAAATCTAAATCATACCTTCTGCAAACTTGAGTTTTATTTGAAGCTGTCGTTAAGAATTCCATTGTACACATGTAGCAAAGAATTGAAAAGAACTTTTGAATCCCACTCATAGAACCTGTAAAAAAAATTTATAGCAAATGTAAAGAATGAAAAAATAGTAACGTCATATTTTTGCATGCAATTAAAATTTTGAGGAAATCGTTATACGATAGCATATTATAAAAATTTCTGAACGACAAAAAAATATACATGTTAAAACATTTTAGGTATATGAATGTATAAAAGAAAGAACTTCTTTGTACACAACATTTTTAGTACATTTGTTATGAGAATTGTCCATGCTTGATCGTTTCAATAGAACTTTTAGAGATGTGCTCGTTTTTGCTCCTGATAATGCTACATATGGCTGACCATGATAGAAAATCGATTCTGGAAGATATAGATCGACAAAATCAAGTGTTTGACTTTGTGCTTTATTTATAGTCATCGCAAAACATGGTCTAATTGGATTGAGTTCTCTTAAATTGAATTGAGTTTCTATCACTTCGAAGAGGTATAAACGGGATCCTTGGTAAGAAAACATATTTTTCACAATATTTACCAATTGTAATTTCAACTAAAATAACGTTTTTCTCAAATTTTCGACAAGTAAAGCGTGTTCCATTGCATAACCCTTCAGAAGGATTCATATTCCGCAGTAACATTACAGGACAGTTTATCCTAAATTTCAATTCATGCGGTGAAATACCATTTGGTGTTAAAGTAGAAATCTTCTTGCAAGTTTTGTTCTGATTTATTAATTGCTTCATCAAAATTGTAGTATGTAAAAATTTCACCGGGAATTTGTTCAAGTAAAATCCTGTTAATATAATCAACACATTTATTCGTAGGCGTTAGAATAACTCTATTTACCATATCATGTAGATTGTTAGCATTTGTTTGTATATTTGACAAATCTTGATGTATCAAAATTTTTAAAGATGTGATTTCATCTTCAAATGGTAGAATTATACTATTCGGAAGCATAACGCACTTACAAGTATGTTCTTCTTCTTTTCCATCTCCAATTCTAAGTAAGTAAGTACAGAACATAGGATCTAACTTTGCTATCGTATTCTCAACCAATGGTAAATGTAAATAGGAAGGCCATAGGTCTAAAAAAACCAAGCTAGCTTTCATTACATCTTCTTTTTTCCCTCTCGGTACCACTGGTAGAACTTGTCGAAAATCCCTTCCAAAAACTATCACTTTCCTACCGAAAGGCAAGTTACAATCAGTAATATCTTTAAACATTCTGTCTACAGTTTCAATAGCAAAATGATTTACCATAGGTGCTTCATCCCAAATTATTAACCTAGACATTTTCAACAACATTCCTAAAGCTGATTGCTTGCTAACAGAGTAGTTCACTTCACCAACTATTTTCATAGGAATTTTAAATCTCGAATGAGTTGTGCGACCTCCAGGCAACAAAGATGCAGCGACTCTAGAGGACGTTGTTGCCAAAGCAATGAAATTTTGACTTCTTACACTAATTAGAAGAGCTTTGTATAAAAAAGTCTTCCATGTTCCCCTTGGACCATCAATAAAGAAAGTACCACTTGATTCATTTTTGATTTTTTCCATAACTGTATCATATGCAAATCGTTGTTCTTTGTTTAATTGCTCTACATAATTGAAGCCTCGTTCAATATTGAAATTGATTGTTTCCTCTGCAACCATTCTTGTCAATCTTTGAGTCTCCTCTATATTTACGAAGAATGAAACTATTCCGTAATCATTTATGTTTTTACCTAATGATTCTAATATAGAATTGATGTCTTCCAAAGCTTGTACTTCAACATGTTCAACAGATATGTTTCGATGTACATAATCATCAATCATATAGGCTTTATATTTATCCCACAATAGCTTTGGATGATTAGGGCTGTAAAGTGTAAGAAGTGTTGCAAAAAGACATCTTAAAGAATTAGGCATTTTGTAAATAATAGCTTTGGATAGACATTCTTCACAATGATTATCCCCTTTTAACAAACCATGTAAAATGCTACTTCTCGATATGTATTAACAGTTACTCCATTTAAAGTTTTAAAACTGTCAAATGATGTTGGACCTCTAATATGATTCAGAAGAACACGAAGGAAATATCGTTCTCCTTCAGATGGATTGATTGTCACAATTTGTCCTATAACAATGTGTTGTTTTCTAGGAGTCCAAACTTTCCCATTTGCATTCCACACAAAATGTGTTGGGAAATCTCGATACAACAATGTTCGAGCAAATTCATTTGCTTCATTCATCCGAAAAAATTCAGTTAACATTGTTCTTCTCGTATACTCATTCCCAATAATAATAGATAAATCATCTTTATTATTGTAAGTTACGTGCTGATGATCTTTAATATGAAGTTGTAAAGTATAAACAGTAGGATAAATTTCTGATAAATTGAAAAAAAAAAATTCTCCACATAGCTTCAGGTGGAGATATCCATCTAACTAATTGATAAGCAGAAATTTCATCAATTTCCTTATCCGTTTCATTTCTGCCTATAAAACAATTAATATGATCATATCCTTTATACACATATTTGTACAAATACTTTACTGCTTTAATAGAAGAACATACTTCAACGTTAATATGACAGTCAAATTTTACACTTAAATAAGGATTATATGGTACAACCCATCGATTATCTAACATTTCATCTCTCACTTTAATAGAAATATCATTATTACGACGTCTATACAATGGATATGAGTTATCATCAAAATTTAGTATTGTTACAATAATCCTTAAGATATTTATTTTTACAACTACTGCTTGCCAACATACACACATTTTTTGGATTAAGATTTTCACAAGGACCGTACATATTGTGTTTTGCAATTATAGAACGAAGATGCAAGTATTTATTTTTATCATGAATTTCACATGACACTATCATATCAACTTGTTCAGCGCAACAAATTTTATGGACAAAATTGAAAATCAACAATAAATGTGCATGAGGAAGCCCTCTTTTTTTAAATTCAATCATGTATATATGAGCAATAACTGAACCAAAAATATTTTCTTTGTACAAATCCTTTTTTAATTCTTCTAATTTTGCTCTAAATATACGTGCAATTAAATCTGGTCAATTTTGAACTTCGTCATTGTATTTCAGTTCTTCCATAATTTCAAGCCAATTTGGATTACAAGTTATAGTTAGAAATATATCTGGTTTTCCATAGTATTGAACGATAGCCATTGCATCTAAATATCTTTTGAGCATATCTCGAGGCCCACATGTGAAAGTTTGTGGTAGAACAATCTTCTTATCAATTTTTGACCCTCTTGTTTCCCCATTTTGAATACTATCTAAAATATCTTGATAAAATTCAGCACAAATTTGCTTTTGGTTGCTACGAAAATAGTCTAGTCTGGTAATTTCAATCTTAACGTACATATCTACAACATATTGTTGAAAAAGTCTACCAGTGTGAAGTAACACAGACTTACCAGAAGGTCTAATTTGTAACTTGTCGGAATAGTACTCCCGACAAGAAACCTAAAATCGTTTCTTCATTCCATTGAGCACTGCATGAGGATAAAGAAAATGCATCTTACATCCATCTAGAACACTTACTTTATATAAGTTAGAAAACATACAAAAAAGTGTATTAGCAAACCTTCGGCCTCTTTTTCAATGATTTCGGTTGCAAAATTTACTGTGCTAGGAAAAGCTACGCAGTCAACCAAATTTTGAGTTTCAAAATATGTCTTTTGGTATCTTTGAATACCTTCATGCCAACCAGATTCTGCAAATGAGAAAAGTAAAATATATTGTAAAAGATCATAACAACCATAATAGTAATGAACCATATGTGAATCACCAGAATGACCATATATAGTAATATCACGAGCACGAATATTTGCATTGTCATCATCCTCAACCCATACAGCAGTTACTTGAGATGCCGAAGGAGTATTGAAGATTCTTTGATCAAGTCCAGGATCGCATCTTATTTGTATTCAATGGTCATGCAAATTAGTCATATTACTTAAAGACCTAAATAATCTACTATATGGATTTACTTTCAAGATTTCAATCAAAATGATCAAAGTAGATTCAACAAAATTTTCTAAAATTTTTGTACGATTTTCAATTTCGTTATCTGTATCATAAAAATATAGCTGCGTATAAGAAGGCTCATTATTTTCTAGCACAAGTTGATTCACATAATGATATACTTGTCCCTGAACTCTGAAAGTGTAAATACCTTTATATGTTCTAAAAAGCCATTTATCATATTTTACACCAAACGAAGTGAAAGCAAAACGGTTATTATATACATGTGCAATTTTCTTAAATTCCATGCATTCAGGTTCTTTAGAAGTAAATAAATCATACAATTCAGTCGGTGAATCAGGCATATAAAATTTAACTTTTTCATCAGAACAACAAAACCCTTTTGTTTCTCTATAAAATTTTCGTGCACCACAATGTTTATAGTAGTTCCATGTCGGTAATACATATGCATTAGTTGGTATGTTCAATAGGTTAGAAAATCCTCGCACTTTAGAGTGAACAATATTAGTCGATTCTTGATTTGAAGTGGAAGCTTGGAAAATAGGAGGAACTGTAAACTTCCGAGCATGGGAAGCACCTAAATTATTTTTCCAGATAATGTAGAATCATTTATTCTTATACGACGATCAATGCGTGGAGTTTGAATTCGATACCTCCTATCCGCCATCTTTGATTTTGTTGTTGGTGAATAAAGGCAGTATTTGATTTACTTGTGTTTTGAGAAGTGCCATCAATGTTACAAAATCTAGATTCTTGATCAGCAAATGTTTTTGAAGAATTCATGGAGAACAAAACTTCACCTCTAATTTAATTAAAAAAAAATTCATTTTAGTAAATGAAATAACAAAAAAAATTATTAATACTACTCAATTTCCACAATAGGAAAAAAATTTTGATAAACACAAATTAATCAGACTTTCACAACATTAAAAACATGCATAAAGCTAAAGTTTAATAACAAAAATCGTTTACTTGAATGCAATAGTAATAAACATAAACATTGCTACCTCAAATATTGATTAAATAAAATTTTAATAAGACTTGTAGGATTTAAATGCAGGAGGAAAAAAAATTACTATTTTTATATGATTTTTGTAAAATGAAGAGTTTTTTTAATATAAATACTATTATTATTTTGTAAATGATTTTGCTATACTACTACTGAAGATGAAGAAGAGAAAGGCTTCCAAAAAGGAACGAGGTTTTCATCTCTAATTTTAGTGATTTTGCTCCCACCCCATCAACCTACACATCTATAATGTAAGTAATTCATCAAAAATCATGAACTTAATAAATTCATAAGTTGACTACTGGAAGTACACAAAAGAATAAGGATAGCAATTGAAAGTAATGAAGCAAAAATATACAAGTTGAAAATTGGAAATACACAAAATAGTCAAGAAAAGAACTTGAAGTTGTATATAAAAAATATTCAAAAATATTTCACATATCACTAAAAATTGAAAAAAATAGTGTAAAATGGATATTGTTTAAAGAAACTATACCTGAATTACGTAGAAATTGCCGTTAACAAAAGATTACACAGTTGTCCTACATTATCGGAACGTAGAAAATAGTGTCAAGCACATCTGAAATATTATCCTGTTTATCTTATGTTTTTATTGAAAGATAAATGCTAGTTAAGATACACAAAGGATACAAAAAATAGGCCACCTAGTGTCCTCTAGCACTTCATACAAAAGACTATTAACAAAAAGAAAATGTCAATACCATGGCATGCTAACAAATATATTGTTCGCTTCTCGAAATCAAATAGTTCTTTTAGACGTTAAAAGAGGACAACAAACATAACCACAAACTTGTTTGAACATAAAGTAAATTAACTAATGAAAAATAAAAACAAAAAATGATGGCACATAGTATTCCATATTATTAAGTTTGAAGATTTGATTGTATCAATTCTAGTTCTTCCTAAAATTTATCATTAGTATTTAGTATCCACCTTTAGATATTCTATTGAAGGTAATAAAACATTTCCATCGATGAATTTATGCCTCAAAGAGCTCTAACCAAGTATCTTTTTTTAATGAAAAAGTATATAACTAAAGTAATTATTCAAATAAAGATTTCATGTCTCACCGTATATTACAAAAAACCAATTTCCCCTAGCTTTAGTTTCTTGTTGCCTTTTTCCACTTCTCCGTTTTTATGACTTTTACTGTTTGAAGTAGTATCCTAATAAAAATGGTCAAATACTTCCTGTTTTCCTTTTTCTTTTGTTCTTGAATCTCGATGAGTTCTTTCTTCTCCCTCTAGAATTAGTAAAATAAAGATAAGAGAAGGCAAATGATTGAATTAGGTTTATAAGTTTTGGGTAAAAAATTTAAAATCATCTCAACTTTAAAAGCACGAGGCTCAAATTTGAGATCCTTGCATAGGAAGTTATGAAATCACATAGTACATACATATTCAAAAATTTTATACATAGAAGCACAAAACATCAATTGGAACAAAATAAATAAATAAATTCAAAACCCTTACCTGACAAAGATCTCTCCACTATAGCCTTCGATTCCACGAGATAACTAATGTAATCTAACCTATACACATAAACAACAAAAATTTTTAGTTCAAATCTACAAAAAAAAAATTGAAAGCTAAAATCGTCCATAATCTACAATACAAATACAAAAGTTTCTTTGTAAAAAAATATTACCATATGTGAAAGTAAACATAAAATATTATCGGTGTCTAATTTCTATACTATTTCAAAGATGTTTTCTCGTTTCTAGTGAAGCAGAGGTAAAGAATTAAGGTAAACAATGAAGAAGAAACACAGTAGACGAAAATAATTTTCGTGAGAAATGATTTAGATAAAGCAGATTGGAATCAAAATTCATATTATACATTTTACAGACAATGACAGACTGCATTTATTATATGAAAATCGAAAAGACCATGTAACCCTAACTGTAATAATCATTTTGTCAAAAATACCTTAACTTAATGCTTCACATTATTTTCAATCAATTTTGATATTGAGGATAAAGTGGGAATTCATAACATTTCCAACACCATACCATAAAAGTCAAATTTGTAAAAAATAATTTTCCTACTCATTGACATTAAGAAATGAATGCGGACCCACAACAATTGTACAAGGGCGGATGTGGAAACAGTAGAAAAGCAGTAGAAGAAGTAGACTATGTGGTCCAAAGAAGAAAGCGTGTCCCATTTTCTTACATGAATAAATTACTGTAGCAAAATCGGATAAGTTGGATGTAGTGTGAAAAACAATGTGACATAAATGAATAGTAATATTAAAGTCTCTCTTTTAAGAGGTAGTATGTGTGTGTGTGTGTCTATATATATATATATATATATATATGGGGAGCACTATACATAGATAGAAGCAAGTGCTACGAAAGCAACAACAATCCCTACCTACCCCATTCCATCCCTTCACCCGAATAATGACCATTTAAGCATCTCTGGAAGCAGATAGAAAGAGATGGCAGAGTAAGCACCTCTTCCATATACTACTTTCCCTGTGTCCTATCACTCCCCCCTATCACAACAAGGTAGTCCTGCCCAAGGAAGAAATCACAACCAGGGCTATATTCACCTACCTCACCCTTGCTGGCAGCCGCAGTGTGAGGGTTCGATTCTTGAAACATGGATTGGGACTCTTTGTGAGCACCAGTGTATAGACAGCTCTTGTTCCCTTGCCTACTAGAGTACATCCCGTAATTAATCTCTCTCACGACACTCCATGGGCGGGGCGGTGGGGGTCCTTAAGGTTGAGGTTTAACATTTTTTTTTATATATGGCATATGTCCTCGTGCTGGATGAGTATATTCATTATTCGGAAAAACATCACGAATCAAGATATAAAATAAAATAAAAAAATCCCTTTGTGCCTTTGCATAAAACAATTAGAATAGTGCAAAAAAGTCAATTTATTGAACCAACGAGGTTTCACATTCGTGTTAGTGTCCTCATCTCCTCGTTCAGTCTCTTTTAGAAGCAATAAAAGTAGCTTTTTCTATAAATAAGTATTTTGCTTTGTTTAATGATTTTGTATTATAGACAACTATATTATGACAGGAAAAAAAAATGAGTGTACAGAAAAAAATTACTAGAAGCTTTACAGACTCTCACATGGAGGTGGGCCCCATGTGAATATTTTGTTACAAAAAATAAACCACCACCCCACTTATGTGTCTTATCTGTAGAAGTTATGTGAAATTCCGCCCTGTAATTGTAGCTTGGCTCATCATTTTAAATTATAATGGGTAGAATATTATTTTTTGGGGAATAGGTGGTTGAAAAAGAAGGAAATTTTTTTGATTTACGTGTAATATTATTTTATGAAAGATTATTTAGATGAAAATAGGATAGAGAAAAATGAAATTTAATTTAATTTAATTGGGGCCAAACAGGAGCTATAATTCTTGTTGAATTTGAAAATTAGTGGATATGCAATAAAGCTTTTGAACACCTTGGTAGAATTAACTTAAAGCCTATTTATCTTCCATTATGGAAGAAATTATAGAGTTTTGAATAGTACTTTTTGGAAAATATGTGGTTAAGAAATTTTATTGATTTGTGTGTAGAATATTTTATTGTGTGAATATGTGATGAAGAATGTTATTGTAGCAAATAATTTAATTTGTTAAATGATGACAAATTGGGGCTTAATTCCTGACCCTCTCAATAGGGACATTCTTAAAAACTCATTTCCAAAATCAAGTATGTGATACCATGAAAAGAGGGATGTACTATTGAAGGATGGATCAACATAAAGGAGATAAGTTAACGTCAATGTCATCCCCCAGTCAAGAAAAAGAACCGAGACATAGCTAGGGTCCGTTTGACCGTGCTTTTGTTTTTGCTTTTGTTTCTAGTAAAAGAGTTTCATCTTCCCAAAAATACAATCTCCTTGCTTTGGGTGTGTGTGACACCTTAAACTAAATGATATTAGGAAAAATAATCCACATTCCTATCATTTTCTAGCTGTAATAATATTTGGGGTTTGCAACAAAAATTTTGTATATATACTTTATCTACGTTCTTTAACTAAATATGTCTATGTTTAACAAATTGACGAGTTTCAGGAATAATCAAAGTCATACTTCATCGAAAAAGGATCTCACGACCATACCTTTGTTTATCCAATAGCACACCACGGTGGTCACGAATCAAACTATGTTAGACGATCTGTTTTTCAATGATAAATTAGAAGAGATATAATTCTTAATCGTGTATCTAATTCTATACATCAAATATGTGGATACAAGGCATTCTCTACGTGCTAAAATACTTTTCTTCTGAATTGTGTACTCAATTAAAACATTCTTTTGATATTTACGAGATTTAGCTCATGTTTAGTAGGGATTAAATTTATATTTTAATTTAAGTCAAAATTAATAATTAATTTTAAATATATATTTCATGAGATTTACAACATTCCAATTATAATTTTCATCAATATTTATCAAAATTTAATTTTAATCCTCACCAAATTCGAGATTAGTGTTAAAATGATATAAAAAGGCACGGGACTAAACAAGTGGAAATCACATGGAGCCATGCTTTTTATATTCTCAATTAAAACATCATATTTGAGTTTTTTTGTTCAAAAATCAGATAATTATAAATTTAAATTTAATTAATTTAATTCAACACCCCATACCAATACCCACCTACCCCAACCCCCACAAAACCATGTTCATCTTTGTGCCATTTCATTTTTCTCCCACTCTCGTTCCCATCTTATACCAGCAATAGCGATCGTCATGCGAAGCAACAGGAGCATCATCGGCGACAAGCATGTTAGTGGTGCGATCTGTTTCTTCGTGGCGCAACTTCTTTCTCTTTTTGTCTTTTGCATCTGTCTATCTATTGATGCGATTTGTTCAAGCACCGTCGTCACGTTGTTGTTCGCCTTTCATAGACGCTGTCGTGCGCAAGCACCCTATTGATAGCATTAACGATAGTGGTGGTTTGCAACAGTATCGACAGTGCGAGTTGGTGTTGGTGTGATGGTGGCTACGGTGGTGACAACGGGGATGGTGGTGTTGCCGTGGCAGTGAAGCAAGACTAAAAGTTTGTGATCGATTATTTGAGTATTGTGATCAATAAATTGGTTGATTTTTGACAAAAAAATAATACGTGTCCTAAAAGATATGTAATTGTACTATATTTGAAATTGCGACTAATTAATTCAATAATTTGTAATTGAGAAATAACTCGTGACTTCGAAAATTTATGATTTGTGACTAGTAGATAAAATTTTGATGTATGACCGACGAATAAATTGTGATTTATAAAATTTTTGATTTGAGATCATAAAATAATTTGAGACATATAAAATTTGTTATTTGTAATCGAGAAATAATTTGTGATCAATTAATTCAATATTTGTGACCAAATGTATAGAATTGAGACTTTGATATATTTAATTAATAAAATATATTTTTTGATTAATTATTTCATAAATAAAAATTAATAATATCTAATTTTTGAAATTTTAAAATTTGTTTATTAATTTTGAAATGAATTATAGTTAATCTCTTAGATATGAAAATTTTCCATTTTGTTGTGAGTGGAGCCGATAGATCTAACTCATTTGTAGTTAAAGTAGCCCATATAAAGCCCAATTATTTGTTTTATTTGCCTCATAAAGTGAACAATGACCTTTAATAATTTACATACGAATTTTTCCTCAGTGAAGAGTTGATACTAACACTGAGCATTTGCATGATACCTTAATTATAATACTTCAAGTGTTAATAGTTTATTTATTTAAAAAAAAAAAAATCAGTTTCAAGTTTAAAGTTTAAATTAATTTGACAAATAATAGAGTTGGGTTCAAACTTGATAAAAACTTGAATGATTGGCTAAATATCAAATGTTTCTCAATTGTCATTGAAGTTTAAAAGTTCTATGAGTTATTACTGAATTATTCCAATTGTTATTCCACACATCACTCGTCGTTTTAAAAATTAACAAACTAAATGACACTGTAGACCAAACATGCTCGGTTGAATAAGGACATGTTTGATGTAGATTTTGTAAAAATGGATATTTTTGATGTGTAGTTAAAAAGTAGAAAAATTTAAGAATTCATGTGCAAATTATTTTATTGGGAGAATAAATTATTGAAAATGAGTTCGAAGAAAATTGAGTTTTTAAAAAAATTGTACCAGACATGAACTAAGTGAGAAGTTCTCCTTCAACTCTATAAAATCTCTATGACAAGCAAACATAGAAGTTCAAGCATTCTCAAAAGGATCATATACTTACAAATTTTTTTTTACAAAATCCTTTACTCACTACTCACAATAGAATGTGAAGACCACAAGCCGACATTTTTTAAATTCACAAGAGGACTGTTTGTTTGTGAGAGTAAGTAACCTATTTTGTACACACTTATTTGTACACATATATTTGTCCTTCTCAAAATATAGTTTGACGTATCCATCGAGGATATTTATCTTTGAGTGTGGGGAGTCGAAATTTTAATATTAAATGCTTCTTTTTCCTAATGAAGTGGTTGGCCCAACTGCTCTACGCTTCTTCAAAGCAAATTGTTGGTGCAACTTTGCTTGGTTAAAGCTGTATACCTCTACATGCCTCTCACAATGAGGGCCCATAAATATTTAATTGTACACTATGGTATACAAATGATTCTCTCCAATTTTTACTGCTACTTAATAAGTTAAAGCAAGCTTGGTAAAGGGAAAATAGAAAAAAAGAATCTGTAATTTTTTTCTAGAACTCTATAAATAGCAGTTCTTCACTCACTTCTGCTCTTAGTTCAAATTGGAGGCTCGTGCCAATCTTCTAACCTTGAATCACTTCTCTCTCGAGTAAAAAACCCAAAAGAAAAAGTCTCTCAAATTTTGGATTTCCTAAGAGAAATATCCACTTCTAGATATGGATTCATTCGACATTCATGGCATCAGAGTCGAGAAGGCTAAAGCGATCTTTAGGCACAACAAGCTTCTAAAGATCACCACTTTGTTTAGAATCATGGAGCTTTGTGTTTTCTTGATCATTCTCTCCAGATTTTGCATTCAACTACCTCTTGCTTTCAAACTGTCTGGTGATTATTTCAGGGGAATTTTTGCCACCTTAATTAGTCCCTGGTTCGTGTTTGTATTTGGAAACGCGATAATCGGCATTCTGTTCCTAAAATCGGGACAGTCATCAGCCAAAGATGGTGTCTATGATGAGTACACGGAAAACTGTCGAAAGAATAACTACGAGAACCAAAAACAGACGAACAAAATCGCCAGTTGTGAATATACTACGAGTTGTGATCACGAGGAAAGGAAAATACACAGAATTCAATCAGAGAAAATGGGAAGGATGCACACCGAGGAGCCTCACCGGAAACTAAGGCGGTCGATGACAGTAAGATGCCGGAGAAATGTGAATTACGGTAAGAAGGCGGTGGCTACTTCCTGTGCCGAGGATGCAATGAGTAATGAAGAGTTTAGGCAAACTGTTGAGGACTTCATCTCTCGACAACATAGGTTTCTGAGGGAAGAAAAAGAATTTTCAGCTGTAGTTTCGTACGAAACGAGACAGCCAATACTGTCAATATCATGTACTAGATTTTAACTTCAATTTTGTTCCTTAGTTGTATCCAATACAGTCCATATAGATGTGTCTCCCTTTGTATATTTATCATATTTACAATCCTCAATAAATTTGACAAAATTTCGCACTGGTTGTTAATCTATCGCAACCTTCTTCTCTTTCCCGATTTGGGACCCGCGATGATTTGCAGTAAAAGAGATGTAGATTTGGGACAATAGATTCAAGTATGGATGGTGCTCTGTAGGAAGAAATCCCAGAGGATTTTATTTTCTGGGTAAATAGGAGAAGTGGAATAATACTGGGAACTGTATTCTGATTCTTGTTCCATGGAAACATATGATTTGGTGCCATAATTCTAATCTGGTTCTTGAATTATTAGACATAAAAACTATAGTATCAATCCATAGGAGAAAAGTAAAGTAGTTTTATATTTGTCACATGAGTCATTCCTTACACAGCAGCATATATCCTCCTAGAGAAAAAAAAGTATCTTTATTACTCACTATGGTTTATGGGCTCTAATAATTATTTCGATAGTCTACCACTCAACTTTCTGTTCCGAATAATACTATTTACAGTCGCTCACTACGACAGTCATTACACATGACGAGATGATTATTTGATACATTAGTCAATTGAAAATTACGATATTAATGTATCAAATAATCACCTATCATGTGTATGTCGTAAAAGACGACTGCTATAGTCAAGAATTACAAATATCTTTACTCTTTTGTGTTCTACCTAGCAATCTGCTGTTCTTCGTGGTGGAACTTTCATGCTTACTTTTGATCTTGACCGCTTAGACCATGTTAGATACGGTAAATTCGACTGGATAAATGTATGACTGATCACGCCTAGGCTTGGGGGCCCACACCCGTCTTAATTCCAGCAAATTCGGACTTAGCTGGGGACATAGTTGGGATAATTGATAGGATAGGCCACCTCAACCTATTAGGAGATAACTTCTTGAGACAGTGAATAAATTTCATTAAATAATTAGGAACCTGATTAGTGTCTCTTAATCACAATTAATTATTGAACAACTTTCTCCCAACTCCTCTTTTTGTTGTAAGTGTGGCCTTGTTAAAAAATATATTAATTCAAAAGTTTTTTAATTATCAGTTGTTACTCAGTTGGATTAATTAAGATTACCAAAAAATTAGTTAATGCCAAATTGCATCAAAATACACCACTTGATTACGGATATTTTGCATACCAACTCAAATTAAAATATTAAAAATAATTAATAATTAACCACCTAAGATATTTAATCGTGTCAGGTGGTTGTTCACAAGCAACTTTTGATACTTTGAAGAATGACAACAGACGATATTATAATTTCTGATTTTGAATTATAATTGAGATTAATTAATTATATTATCCAGTCCGACAGTTGCAATAGGATGACATATCTTATCCCATCCCTACATGATCCGATCGGTCGTACAACAATGTTCTTGTGTTTTTATCACTTGTTACTCAGTTGGGATTAATTAAGATTACCAAAAACATTAGTTAATGCCAAATTGCATCTTGATTACGGACATTTTGCACACCAACTCAAATTAAAATATTAAAAATAATTAATAATTAACCACCTAAGATATTTAGTCGTGTCAGGTGGATTTTCACAAGCACCTTTTGATGTTTTAAAGAATGACAGCAGAAGATATTACAATTTCTGATTTTGAATTATAATTGAGATTAATTAATTATATTATCCAGTCAACAGTTGCAGTAGGATGACATATCTTATCCCATTCCTACATGATCCGTTCGATCGTAAGGCAATGTTCTTGTGTTTTTATAGGTAAACGATGAATTTTGGGTTTAGTTGTATAATTATTTTTGTTTCCATTTTCAAGAAATGAGAAATCAACTAAGCTATTGAAATTAATTCTAGCTATTATCACAGCTTTCAAAAATCTTTCCTCCTGATTTTATATTAGGACAATACTTTATGTACATAAAAATCGATATAATGGTTTACACACATATGAGTTGACAGATTTTGACATATTAATTTTTACAATACCTTTTTCAATCAATGCCAGATTTTTAACACATGGGGGTATCAATTAAGATATAAACAAGTAATTTAATTCTTTTTATTATGGGTCTGTAGTGTGGCGATCGAGTTTTTTTACAAGTTCTATACATCTATAATTGGGCTTGTAAAAAGTTATGGTGAATTGGAATCATTGTCAAACTTCATTAACTATATATTTCGATGAATTCACAAGTACCATACATTTATTTAGTATTTATTTATATATTTATAAATTAAATTACTTATAATCAGATAAACTCTTGATCGGGGGTTATTTAAAGCCAAGTAGTCGTAGGGTGCATGTAGACTGGTGACATTGGGATACAATAAACAAACTCAAATTAGAATATTGTTTGATAACGTTGTAGCCCCACCTGAGCCCAGTTGACAGCTGTCATTGAATAATTCAAGATTTGCAAGGATATTTTCTTGGTATATAACTTTTCATCGTAAATTCTAATATATTTTTTCTCCACTCTTTCTTTTTTCACTGCAACTTCAACGCTAATTCTTTACAAGTCTGCAACTACAACATATTGGAGTGCCACTAAGAACAAGAAGCCATTCACTCTATCTCTATGCTCCCACCCCAAGAAATGGGCTTAATTTTCACTAACAAGGGGTCGTTCGTTAGGATTTTTTAAGAGTCAAAAGTCGCATTTAAAATTAAGAAGTTATCTTTGAACTCATTTGAATAATTTTTATGAAAGATATTTGTCTCACTCGAAAGTTTTTAGAGAAAGTTGACCTAATTAATTTACATGATGAAAATAAAGTATTGAATTTTGATTTGGCCACAAACATTGATGTGATTAGCTTATATTTAGGTTAGAAATATCATAGAAAGGTCCTTCAAGAAATGTTTTCCCCTTAATTTTGTGCCTTGTTGGCCGCCAACTAAGTCTGTTGGTTGTTCAATGAAATGTGAATTTCTTCGAATTTGTGTCAAGTTCATCATTAACCGGACTTGTATAGAAAGTTATAAATATAATTTTACGGCAATTTATCCTTAACACTTTCACTACAGTATCAATCAAGTCGTAGAAGAGATCAAACTATGGGAACATATCTATAGGGCTATAACCTTGTTTGGTCAAATTTTCCAATCTTTTCACAATTACAATTACAATTCACTACACACTTTTTTTTATATTTCAATTTCGTTCAATTGAATGTTACACTTTAATTTTATTTCAATTGAATAACTATACTTTAATTTTATTTCACTAAGTTAATTCTATCCAATTCAATTAACGATAATCGATGACGGACAGTAAATAAGTAACGGCCATCACACTTTTTTCTTAAGATTTCGCCTTTATTGAGAAGATGTACACTCAAGCGTACTAAGCATTAAGCAAAAGTAAACTTAGGCTCAAAAACAAGAAGCAAGGATTGATCATGATTGTCGGATTGATCATGATTGTCGGTTGTTGAAGTGGAATAGGTGCAATTTCAATAAAATTAACCACGTTAATCATTAGCTAACTTTCACATTATTAATTTTCGTCGATTCAAATAAAGGAATCAAACGAAATTATTTAATTGAAATCAAATTAAAATATAATTATTCTATTGAACAAATTGAAGGGTTATAACTTATTGCTGAGGGTTACAATCACGTTGTCAACAAATTAGTTATCTTTAAAATCAACTTATAAGTAACTTTTTTTTTCTTTTCCAGGAAATGTAGGGAAAATAGACGTTAGTTTAAAGGGGGAAATTTAAACGGAGTGGCTAGCACAACGAACGCGCTGTCTTCCCTTTATCTCTCTCACAAACACACACTCAGGGGGGGGGGGGGGGGGGGGGTTACAATCACGTTGTCAACAAATTAGTTATCTTTAAAATCAACTTATAAGTAACTTTTTTTTTCTTTTCCAGGAAATGTAGGGAAAATAGACGTTAGTTTAAAGGGGGAAATTTAAACGGAGTGGCTAGCACAACGAACGCGCTGTCTTCCCTTTATCTCTCTCACAAACACACACTCAGGGGGGGGGGGGGGGGGGGGGAGATTCTTTTTCTAAGCCCTGCATTTTGGCTGGTAAATTTCTTCCCTTTTCCCTCTCTCTTCCTCCCATGAATCCATCAGATTCAACTATTCTCGTGTTTTTGTTGTTTTCAGACCCATTTTTGTATTGATTGACTTCTTTTGATTTATTCATAGTAGCAATGCAGGTTTTGATATTGTGATTCTTGCGTTCGAAGAATCGTGATCGTGTGTTTGTGTTTAATTCAAATTCTACATGTTGATTTATGCGTATTTTAATAGGTTTCTTCGCACTGGTAATGAATAGTTTTGTATTTTACTTAATGTGAACATAGATAGGATGCGAATAATCAGGTAACAAAATTTTGACATATTATGACTAATTTGCGGCACAAAGGGGCTTTCAGTATTTCCGGTATCTTTCAGGAGTAAAAATGGATGTTATATGTATAGTTAATTGAAAAAGGAAAGAGTTCTTTGTATATACATAGATAAATACAAATTCGCGTATATATTACGTTTATTTGAATGTGTTTATCAATGCATTGATGTAATTGGTTTTACTGTTTCAAGCCAATATTAGAGTATCTTTGGCCATTTTTCTTTTTGTAGAATGTGGTGTTAATCTGTGCCTTTTGATTTATCGTACATGTGATTATTTGACTTCTATATTGTAAAAGGTGTAGGCATTTAGGCAAGTTCGCGACTCCTGCGATTGTGTAAATATTGCAGTCTCGAGTTGTCAAATTTGCAAACTGCCATCATGCGTGACAACATGTCGGGACCTCTTGAACGCCCTGCCCGGCCAAGTAAGTGCATTTGCTTCCTAGTTGCTATTATTTTCTTAGGTTTTATTCTAAATTTACAAATTCAGAATAAGTTCAATTTTAATTTTTTCGTGATTTTATACATAAAAATTCACCAATTTACTCAGTTGAAAAGCTATATGTGATGGCTGATCCATTGTATCACCACCTACATGTCACAGTAACTGCAAAAATATATTTGTGGTAATAGTAAGAAGTTTCGAAATGGAAAGAGTAAAGAAATAATCTGAAGTCTGGCTAATCTTCTATTCTAGGAAATGTTCTGTTTCAAATTTTACTGAGATAGCTTGAATTTGGACTTTTAGCAATAGTTAGTAAAAGATCTTATATCTGGACAATGTTGCACTTATTACATTTGTTTGCATTAAATGTTATAAATGAACATAAATAAATACCGGTTCCGGGGTCTGAGATTAACAACATAGACTTAGTGTGATTAAGAGTCCTGTCTTGCTAAATATATTTCAGGTCTCGAGAAAATTGATATCGAAAACTCTGAGGATGAGAGGAAGACAAGGCTCGGGTCTCTTAGGAAGGTGGCAATTAGCGCCTCCTCGAAGTTCAGGCATTCTTTGACTAAAAAGGGCCGCAGAAACAGTAGAGTTATGTCTGTTGTCCTTGAGGATGAGCATGATGCTGAGGAATTGAAGGCTGTGGATGCCTTGCGTCAAGCACTTATTCTGGAAGAACTACTACCCACAAAACATGATGACTATCACATGATGCTAAGGTAACTTTCTACTGTATTTCATAGTTTGAAAATTATCTAATTAATTGGTTATGATCGAAAACTAGTTTGAAACTAGAAATTGGATTTCCTTGATCCAAGATGGATTGAAAAGAAAAAAATACTCTAATAGCACTTCAGAACTCATGCAATATTGTACATCGTGATGAATTTCATCTCCATTTCTATCTATTCTGAGATTGTTGGGATTCATGTGAGAGTTGTGGAGGAAATCCTAGTAGTTTAATTTAATTCCATTATCAACTGGGTGTTGTACACTTTAAGATGCATTAAAGGCAATCTCTATGACCAAGAACTTCACAACTACCCGGTTATTCTACTGCAAATTCCTGTGGCAGCACTTCAGAATCTGATCAGCAATTTTTGTCTTGTATTATTTATTGCATACTTTCATATTCTATTAACCTGTTCAAGAAACTGAATTCACCTTCCTTCAGCTAGTAAAAATCATAAGTATATCCATTCTTGCAACATTGCCACATTAATTTGGAAATGATGTTCATTATTTGTATAATTGATGAACTCTCCGATGTTGATCAAGACTAGAATTTTTCTTATCTCATGACCCTAATTCTAAAATAAATAAGAATAACTGTTGGTTTTGAATTGCTTTCATCTGATGGTGTGGTACAGGTTCTTGAAGGCCAGGAAATTTGATATTGAGAAAACAAAGCAAATGTGGGCTGATATGATCCACTGGAGGAAGGAATTCAATGCTGATGCGATTATGGAGGTATTTCATGATATTAACATACTGCAGGCTGTTATATTTGGAATGGCGGATCAATTGTTTGGAAGCTCATAATTCTATCATGCATCTGAGTTTCATTTGTTCCGTCCTAAATTCTTGTTAGGATTTCGATTTCAAGGAGAAAGACGAGGTCCTTAAATACTATCCACAAGGCCATCATGGAGTTGATAAGGATGGCAGACCTGTTTACATTGAAAGACTTGGGCAGGTTGATTCAACCAAGCTCATGCAAGTCACAACACTGGACCGTTATCTTAAGTACCATGTCCAGGAGTTTGAGAGGACCTTTGTTGATAAGTTTCCAGCCTGCTCTATTGCAGCAAAAAAACACATCGACCAGAGCACAACCATTTTGGATGTACAAGGAGTGGTATGTGGAAAATTTCTCGTACTCCTACGCTTGTAAATACATTTATTAGTTTCCCAGAGCTGAATGTTTAGACAGCTAAGAAAGGCAAATTAATTTTTCAAATATAAGGTTTTGGACCGTTGAATGTTAATTCTGGCTGTAATGTAGAAATTTGATGGCTACATACCAAAACAATAAAAACCGTTTAAAGATCTTGTAATAAAGAACGTAAAGAATGGACTTCATTTTTCGTACATGTCATTATTTTGGTTCAGGGACTGAAACAATTCAATAAAGCTGCTAGGGATCTCATTCAGCGTATTCAGAAGATTGATGGTGATAATTATCCTGAGGTACTTATTTTGCTTTCTTTTTTCTCACAAAAACTCGTTTTTCTTTCTTGATTATTCATTCAATGGTAGATTTGAAACTCACTGGTAATTTGAATACTTGTTTTGTTATATAGACCCTCTGCCGCATGTACATCATCAATGCGGGATCTGGATTTAGGCTCTTGTGGAACACTGTCAAGTCATTCCTTGACCCAAAGACCACTGCCAAGATCCATGTAAGATAAATTCTGCTTACCTCACGTTGTCACTTTTTTCCTTGAATCAAATAAAAAAGTTGTAATGTTTCTTTTTACCAGGTTTTGGGCAACAAATACCAGAGCAAGCTGCTTGAGATCATTGATGCTAGGTAATTTTTGTTGATGAATTGCTACTTTTCGGTATTGCTTTTCTACTTAAATTTGATGTTAGTGCCCTTAAACAACTGCAATTTAATACCAAGTACGCTCTTCTTTACACCATTTTTTCCATTCTGGCTTTTTTTTTTTTCTTTTTTTTTTTTTTTGAACTAATTAGTGAGCTACCCGAGTTCTTGGGAGGTAAATGCACCTGTGTAGATAAAGGTGGTTGTATGCGTTCGGATAAGGGCCCTTGGAATGATTCAGAAATTATGAAGGTTGTATTCTTTCATTTACTCTTTTTAAGATTGTGATTCCAAATTCTAATTTTTCTGTGCTGGCTTCAGAATATTAACTACGGAAATACTGAAAATCAATGTTAATTTGACTGTGCAGATGGTATGCAACGGCGAGCACAAATGCTCGAACAAAGTCCTCATTTCATCTGTGGACGAGAAAACAATTTCTGAGGACGAGACTGCCAAGGTACTCAGACTTTCAATATATTTACCTCGTCTGCTTTCACTGTAAGCTTTATGTCACATTTGAGATTTTCAACTTAGACGTCAATTCTGAGGTGTGATGGCCTTTAAATTAGATTACAATGCTTGTGTTTTTGGGTCCTTATGGCATCTTATTGCCCTACTTTTTACATGTAGAATGTGAAGAAAAACAGTTCTTTCAATAAGGGAACAGACATGGTTTCCAGGGCACATCTCTCTCCTGTTCATGAGAAAGTAAGTTGTAATAATTGTCGTCATACATTGGCATTACAATCATAGTATATCTTGCAAGTTAGCCCAAATTAAATATGTAGAAACTTATATTGTTCCCTTCTAGAACTCTATAGTTTCAATTTTTCTACAATATATTCAGGTTTGTTTAGACTAGAGCTGCCTAAATAATCCCAATTTAGCTGCAGGTAACCAAAAAGCCCGGTGCATATGAGCCTGATGTGTACATCCGAGTGGTAGACAGGGCCATTGATGCATCTAGGCCAAAAGCAGCAGAAGGTAACAGATTTGTGCTTTTTGAAAGTACATATCGTCCTGTGATTCTTAAAATTTAATTCATAGATGGTCTTTGATTGCTAGTTAAGTAAAAATGCAGATACAATTTTTTTACAATTCTTTAGAATGTGTTGCCTAAGGTTAAAAGTTCATTTTAAGTTCATTTTTTTGACCATTTCTTGTCCATTTACAGAAGGTACTCTCGTTTTGGGATGTTTAGTTAAAAATATGTTTTCTTAAGTTTTGAAAGGAGTAAGTTTCCTTCTTACTTAATCTTAGCCAATCATGCTCGATACAAGAGCTTAGTAACTAATGTTGCAGTATCTTTAGGATACCCTAGTTATTCTACCTGTCATGATCCATAGACTGAGACTGATAATTATATTTGATTTCTATTCGTCAAGAATTGTTCATACTTGTAGTGTTATATTGATATTGAGATTCTCTTCGATTCTGCCGTCGTAACCTTGTTTTAAGACAACATTATCATGTGAAAAAATGTAATAATATTAAGAACTTACATTTTAACATCTTTTTCGCATTTCTCTACTTATAGCTGCAGCTTATTTCCCCATAGACAACGCTTGCAAGCCTTCTGAAGGACTTGGCAATCATCTCTTTACTGGAGTTATGACCTTAGTCATGGGTGTAGTTAGTATGGTGCGCATGACACGTAACATGCCAAACAAACTCACAGATGCCACTCTCTATTCTTCTTCTATGCACGATGCTGATGACATGGTTAAAGGTCAATCTAATTGCTACAGATTGCCAGCTCCCACCATCTCGAGCATTGATTACTTTGACATGATGAAACGCATGAACGAGCTCGAAGAGAGGGTTACTTTTCTTAGCAAGAAACCAATGACTATGCCTCCTGAGAAGGAGGAAATGTTGAATGCCGCATTGAATCGTGTTAGTACATTGGAACAAGAGCTTTCAGCTACAAGAAAGGTATGGACTGATTCTCTTGATAATCCTTGTTGATCAAAATTGGAAATGTGTAGGTTACTTATTTTGACAATAAGAGTTTCTTCTAGTAATAAAAAGTAAGCAAAGAATTGTCAAAATCTCAAGAATGGCTGAATTTTTCCAAACTAAAATTGTTTACCCCTTCTATTATCAAATTTGCAGGCTCTTGAGGATGCTCTTGTTCAACAAGGCGAGCTGCTTGCCTATGTTGAGAAGAAGAAAAAGAAGAAGAAGTTCTTTGCTTTCTAAATGCAGAGATCATAAGGCTTAGACAACGTTTCCTTTGCCAAATACTAAATTTGGAGCTTTTGTATATTATATTGTTTGCTGTTCTAATAGCTTGAGTAATGTGTTGTTTCTTGGCGACCTTAACGTTTATTCTATATTGTTTTTAAGCTCTAACGCTGACTTAAATTTGTGTTTCATTGTCATTATATTATACTTACATTTTTCATCTAAGTTCAATTGAATTTGTGGTTTATTCTTTAGTGTGAAGAGGATCACGCACTATTCAAACTTCTCCTTGTGTATGTATCTAGAAAGAAGTGCATTTGATGAAGTTACTTCTAAATGTATTACAGGGTTTACCTCACTTTTTACAGTTACTTGGAATCTTTATACCAAATGAGTAGCAATTTTCAATGTGGAACACTAGCAATTGTTAGTGTATGTGAAAGGGAGAGAGAGATTCCCACAGATGAAAGTAAATCTGTAGCAATATGATCGACAATGAATTTCTCATTTCAAACATTACTCTAGATCTCAGGTTAATCAAACCAAAACTGTATTAGCCCTTGTTTGGGCTCCCTTAAAATGAGATTTTGAGGAAAAATGTGTTTTGAAATAGCGATTTTTTTGAAGAATTAGTTAAAAAATAATATAAGTTTTGGATTTATATATAATATTAGTTTATGAGAAAATGTGTAGTTGAAAATGAATTTTGAAAAAATGGCGCACAAAAGAGGCTTAATAGTTCATATACAATTCGAGTAATATTCCTTCTGAAATGTTATGCAAGGAAATCTTCAAGATTCTCCATATGGTTAACAGTTACATCAAATACTACCTCCCCCACGCTTCTCATTTTGACAAATATTACCAGTGAAACTTCTTTTTCTTCATAATAGAAGCAGAAGAGTTGGACAAAAGAGAGATTTACAAAGTTGGATTGGCTAAAACTTTTAGAAAGGACAATTCTAATTGGAGGAAGTAAATGAACATAAGAAGACTTGTATTTCTCAACTTCAAAACTCATATACTTGGCTTATTATAAAATAGAGGGTTCCTAATTCCTACCCCCTATTTAGGGTTTAATTGAAATTTTTAGACTACACATTTTTTTAGAGACTTCTAGACTACATATTTACATGAGACTTCTAGATCTCATATATAGACTATATATTTTTTTAGAATATTTTAGACAGTTTTTAAAACTATGTAATTTACTTAACACATTACCACATTTATCACCATATCCTTTGATTAGATATTTATATAGAATTTTCTAGAAAATATATCTAAAAATGCTAGGCTTTGTTGGACTTTTTAATTGAATTGGGCCTATGAGCAAAATCCTTAAGCCCAGATTACTTAGTCCAAAATCAAGTTTATTTCTCAACGAAAGATATATTAGCAATAGGCATAATGTATATGCACACAACCATGCACAAATTTGGGCAAAAGCAGATGGACATGGATCAGTGTGAAAGACTTGAGTGTGCGAGGAAAAGAGAAAAATTGAGTCATAGAGCATGATATTTGGCTCCAAAGGGAAAGGTCAAAAGACTTTTGGAAAGTAAACACCTTTTTTGTAAAAGCAACTTATAGAAAAGCTTAATGGTTTATTTTAAACACTTTTTACTCTTTTTAGGCTTTAGGCAAAAATGCTCATAATATGAAAATTTTGAAGTTGTATTTTCATGACAAGAACAATGGTCGAATTAACTTACCTGAAATTTGGATTCTTCTTGACTGTCTATATAAGCAAGCAGCTCCTCTTTGCCTCATCAAAGCCTCATGCAGAGCCTGCTTAGTATAAACACAATCCATTATCACTTGACTTACCTTTGGAAAAATGAGGATTAGTGTGTAAAATAAGGTCAATCTTATTCAGACTCAATAACATTAGTGTGTAAAATAAGGTCAATCTTACTGTACTTATTTTCAACCACACATTTTTTATTAAAATAATATTACACATAAATAAAAAACTTTCCCTTCTTTTTTAACCACACATTTCAATATCAATCACTATTTCATAATACACTTTTTGAAATTAAAGGGGTGCAAACAGGCCCTAACTCTGCTACTAGGGCATCAACTCGACAAACAGAAGCATTGAGCAGTTCTTCTTTCTCGTGAGGCATCTCTGATGGCTTTTCTCGAAGAGTATTCACCTTCTTTTCAAGCTTACCCAACCTCTTCAAGATAGAAGATAAAAGTTCAGTTTCTGTAAACTGTGGAGTTGGTGAAGGCTCCTTTGTAATCGGGTCAAAGGAAAATTCTTGAATGGTTTACTCTTGTTGGGATGATGCATCGGGTATTTTTCTTGGTTACACCGCATGAAAAAGATGTTCCTGTAGCCTTAGCCTGAGAAATGAGTCAAATAATACACATAATCATTAATCGCGGGGAACTGATAAGTATTTATAATTAAATGTAAATAATCAATCCATATCGAGTTTTTGAAAGAATAGAATCACAAAGTTCAGAATTTGCAAAACCTGCCACCAAGCATAAAATAACTAAACATGAAGTTTACAGGTTTAGCCATACCGCCTCATGAACTGGAGTCAACCGAAGATGTGAATATTTCATAATGGCTTTTGGCGAAGCAATACCTTCAGACAACCAAATAACCATAAGATTTCACTTAAAATCTGACATGTCGAGAAATTTCTGTGCCCAATCTCATATAGAAAAGCCACAGACATCGCACCATCGAATAGCAAGGATTATTATAAATGGTCTTCCCCTGGCTGTTAAGAACTTTAAAAACCTGCCTGGCACGCCTTGCTTCACCTTTAAGAACCATATGCAACACGATGTAATGCAGTAATTTCTTTTCGATGTGAAGAAGACTGTAATAATAAAAGTTACTATATTTTTCATTTTGTATTTACTCAATATTAAATTAGGGACTTTAAAATCCACGGATTCTTCCATGGCCCTTTACCAGAAAGAAGGCAACATCCTTGATCCCCAAGGTACACATTCCACCCAAGAATTTCAAAAATTTAACTTTAGAAGATACCAACTGACATAACCCGTTCCAAATCACCTAGTGGACGGAAACGTGAAGTGCGCCAATGATAGATGCTCGCACTATCGCCAAGGCTGTCTATGAGTCACTACTAAATATGTGCCAAAATAAGATACTCACGATAAAAATAATGTGATGGGGCCCAAAATAATTACTTCGTGCTATATCAGAATGAATCATATAACCCAATATGTCGTGTGGGCTCCTCGATCTATCAAGGACTAATTGCTACCCGTAAAAAAATCGTAGGAAAAATATGAGTTGATAGTTCCCAAGATTTCCCAAAACCTGATAGAAGTAATTAAGTTAAAAAACCTAAAAGTTGCTTCAGGTTAATTCTCTCCATCTATCTTCTGAAGCTGCATAATGAGTTCCCTTTCACTCTTATAGTGAAGTTTTTCAAGCCCTGAAATTGACATCAGAAATATATAAGTTACATAACATAACGGAAAATTATCTATCAATCAAACTGATAAAACATGTGTGCCGCTCAGAGAAACTCAAAACTTATCAGAAAATAAATGCCCTGAGGCGCCAACTTTAACATACTGGCATTGTGCAATAAAATTATCCCACTAGCTAATAGCTCAAGGGAGGCTCGTGTAATGTTCTAAATTCAAACTTGTCCAGTAAATTATGCACGTGGCCATTTTTAATTACCTCCAAAGTCCATAGTAATGGGATGAGACGTCGGTGATAACACATCAAATCCCGAAATGCACAAAAAGAAAATAGTTGGAGGAATAAATTCAGCTGAAAAAGAAAACAAAGAAAGAGAAAATTAGATGTTTATTGAAATAAATAGATATAAATACGTGTATGTATCGCCAGGTTAGTTGAGTGTCGGTAACTTTGGATAGTGAGGTGTAGGGGTGAACATGGTTCGATTTGGACAGTTTGAGACAAATCAATTAGGCGGTCTGTGGACTTTTGTTGTTCTCCATGACGCTTTCGGACAAAGATTACTAATCTTTAACTTTTCAAGGAATCATTCATCGGTGGTTGTGAATGACTGTCCAAAATTCATGGATTTTGGAAGTTATAGGAACTTCCAACTATGTCAGGAAAATGACCCTTTCTTCAAACGCAATTTGGAAAAATCCAAACCACTTCAATTTCTAAACCAAATCAATCCAAACCATTTTTTTCGGTTTGGTTCGATTTAAAACCGCGGTTCAACAATGAAAAAATTTATATCAAATAAGTTAAATCATAAATATTAGTCTAAAATTTCACGTTAAAACATAAGTTGTATTATTAAAAAAATTACAAATCAAAATTATATAATTGTAATCATTATAATGCAACAACATGATATATATATATATATATACATACATATATATATATATACATACATATATACATATATATATACATACATATATACATATATATATACATACATATATATATATATA